GTATATATATATATATATATATATATATATATATATATATATATATACATGAGAATATATTATATGGTTCATGAAACATATTTTAAAATTCGCTAACTAGGTCACATAATCCTCAATCACTGTTATCGCTTCATTCTATATTCCTCTGTTATCTTTAATTAGAACTATACTATTGGGCTGTATGACAATCGTTTTCAGTATCATACCATATACAATTCAATTAAATGTCTACACTAATTATTAAATAATCGTCTTAATTTTGCTGTATATATATATATCAAGAGCGGATAATACCTAGAGTACTAGAGGTATTATCCGCTCTTCGCATATATATATATATATATATACATGCCAAAATTCAACACCCTTATTATATTTTTTCTAACATTTATTTCATATCTCACGGCGTGTTCGTGTGCTTTTTAGTTACTTACTATATATATATATATATATATATATATATATATATATATACACTATACACACGTCGGGTGTTCTCTCGGCTGGAGCGAGTCCTATACTTCGTTGTTAGGTTATGGCTATAAGATGTTTGTTCTGCAGAATCCCAGGTGAATGTTTAATTAGGGAGCGCTGGATAATAATCACACCGATTGCTTTGTATATTTGTACAGCGGGCGTCTTTTAAAGGATCGAATGAACATGGTTAATTGCCTACGATTTCTTATGTTTGGAGAAGAAGTTAGGCTATGCAAAAACAATTAGATTATGCAACGTGTGTGGGCACATCTGTTAATAAACGTGCGAGTAACTATTTGATGGATTGTGTGCGTAATGTCGTGTGTTACGCACGCTCACTCGCGTGCACGCGTGCGAATCCTACAGTTTGATTAAGATGGTTTTTAATAATATCATATATATATATATATATGCGTGCGTGCGTGCGTGTGTGTGCGCGCGTGTGTGACTTGATACACACTCAAACATGCACGCAAAGACATACACGCGCGCACACGCATTAACGCACGCACACGCATTAACGCACGCACACGCATTAACGCACGCACACGCATTAACGCACGCACACGCATTAACGCACGCACACGCATTAACGCACGCACACATTGGGATCTAGATCACAAAAGGGTTTGTGCACTCTTGTTAGTGTGTATGTAGCAAAGCAGACACATCTGAAGTAGACTATTAACACTATACCCCGTGAAATGAAGTACAGTAATCAAGCAATTATATATACCGCTGTGATATTGAACTAGATTCTCTATGTAATTAGTGCTGAACGCCATGTCATTATTCATCTCTGTTGGGGGCGATACGATATGATCACTCACTCATAACATAGATGACTACATATCTGCTTGTCCGCTAGTTAGACTGCACGGTGATTGCTTCATCTATATACCCTGCTACTACATTAATCAAGACAAGGTTACAAAGATGTATATACGATATTGCGCGAATATAAGAGAGTTCCCCAGTGATTTTTTATGCGCCCTGTGACCCCATTGTCCAAAGGAAATCGGCGGCAACGTGTAACTATAGCAACTATAGAATGTTTTTTATCGGTCAATTACTCGTGTTATGCGCTCTGATAATAGACCCACGCTACGAGAAATCCAATACGCAGCCCGAATCAAATAATAATATAAATAATAGAATATTATAGCAGGCAAAGATAGCTGAAATATCACGCTAAATTAAACATGTCTGAATTAACATGGTCGTTTACACCCCATGTTCTACCAGCAGCTTCTACCGGTAATGCAAGTATATATAGTATATATATATACCTTGTATATGGTATATATTATATGGTATATATACAGGTAAACTGTATAATCTATGATATTATAAAGTGCAATGTTGTCGCGCCGTGTGCACACACATGTATCATGTTGTTTTGTTGTTGTTTTCAGTGCGCGGAGACCCGGTCATACTTTGCCACGAGAATCCGTGCAAAAATAATGGCACCTGTCTTCGCATCTCAGGTAAGACCAGAGCTCACCTGCAATCAAGGCTCACCTGCAGAGATTCGCGTGGCAGATGCGCCTGTTGCTGCTATCACACGTCTATCGTTTATTATGCTAACAGCAGAACCAGGACAAGTGATGCGTATTTTAATGCTGCTTCCATCCACAGCTGCCTGTGGTATAGCGAAAGGTTTATTGGCGTTTCGTCTACAACCAATTGGTCTACTAGCCTGACCTCTGTTTGACCTGGCTCGTTTAGCTATTTCTGACTTACCCTAACCCTAACCCTAACCCTAATCCTAACCCTAATCGAATCCTAACGAGCCAGGGCACACTTTTGATTTACTGCCAATTAGACAAGTGAACAGTGGACCAAATGGTTGTAGACGAAGTGGCAATTTACCTAGCGAAAGGATATATAGAGCAATTAATTATACCTTTAAAAATTTTCATTACAGTATTATAAAAAAAATATGTTAGTAAATTATATAAATAAAGTTATTAATTACAATCTATTTTTATATTAAATTTTTACAATTAAGTTTTTATTATTATAATGTATATTTATTAATATTATTATGAATAAACAATAATCTAATATGATGAAAACAGCTACATAGCAACTTTAAAAATGCAATAACATTAATTAAAGCTAATAATAATAAATTACCAATCAGGTAATGCCCTGTCGTTGCAGACTCGACGCTACCTAGTCACTGTCCGTCCAGCTATCGGTCGTGGGCAGGCAGGTGTTACAGGTACATAGACAGCCTCGCATCGTGGAGCGACGCTGCTGCCACCTGTGAGGCCGAGCAGACGACCTTAGTCAGCATAGCGGACGAGGATGAGTGGGACTTCCTACAGTACTACATACACTTCAACAAGTTCACGAAGTGTGAGCAGTTACATTCCGTATTTAGCTCCGTAATTTGTGTAAAAATATCACAAGAACATACGTGCAGAGGGTGAATGATGTGATTGGATGACGAGACGCGACAGCGGTCAACAAGTTGCGTGCCCGCAAATCGTCTGTTGAATCCATAACTAGGATTTTGTGCCGATGAAATACCAAATGTAACTCGTACGCGTTTAAAGTCATTGCTGTGGGCGCGGGAAAATCATAGAAATAATTTCATTTGTCGGGTTAAAAATCCGAACATCGTGTGCGAGAGAATTGCAGGGCTACACTCACCCCCTCTATAAACAATGGCAACCGTGGGCGCGTAGCTCGTGACGGCAGCTGTGAATTTAGGTTCTCTGACCTGATGGCGACAGGCGTGAGAGTGAGAAACACCGTCAGTTGACGTGTAGGTGCGTGTGTGCGGTTTGGTAACAGCTGTCACGGTGTTTGACCGCGTCGGATTTCATTTCGGACACAGATGGCCGCCATGACCTACAAATCTCGCAATCGTCACGTGACATCAGCAGAATGTTCGCGAAGAAGTTTGTGATTAGACAGATTTAAGTTAATTGTTTTTTTCTCGCGATTTGTTTTTATCAAGTAATTCCACGCTTCCCGTAATTAAATTATTCAATTTATTTATATAATAGAATTAGTGAATTAATTTAGCAACATTTAAGTCAGTCCCTACGCCAGCAATATTCAACTTCAAGTATGTATACATGAAGAATCATATTGTGAGTGTTATGACCGTAAACAATAGAAGCAAACAGCACATCGCAAGAATTAATTTGCGTGTTCTTTTGCATCAAGTTATTTGAAGGTATACAGCTACAGTGTGACAGCAGTACTCGTCGATTCCCCCCCCCCCATTGCCTCGTAATTATTAAAATAACCTCAAGTGCGATTTTACAGTTGTTTTTTTCGATGCTACCTATGATTCTTGATACTTAGGGTCAATATGGACGAGTGGGCGACGGGACGTGAATCCGCTTGACCCTACGACATGGATATGGACGGCTACGGGAGAACCCGTCACCACAGATCACTGGGACAATTCAGGTACAATATCTATCCGTCGATGAGTGTGTATAAAGAACACGCAGCGGCTGCAAAACGTGCCTCACCTACGGCAATGCATTTGTTAATAAATAGGCCCTATATTAAATATTTTTGGAATTATCGGAAATCTCAATAATATAAACGAACTCCGTTGATATTGGCAGTGTTACAAGACGTCAGATGTACAAGATGTATTGTATACCTTGTTATAACGTGTAGTGATCACCTATTTGCGCGTACTTGCATTATATGCTAATGATGTATATTATCGTGATTTGTTTATTGGTTTCCAATCAGTTGTATAAATTTTTGTTTCACATATGACAAACTGAAGCCACGTAATATATTGAATTATTTTGAATATTATAAGAAAGAAAGCACAATGCTCCTGGAGAAAAACGTTAAGGAAGCTGGGAATTAATGCATGTGCGCATTAATACATGCACGTAGGGCAGATATGTAAAATAATTGTGGGTTTTGTGGTAAAAGCACCAAAATTGGCATATATGATGCTAAGGGGATACTAAATGATTTCAGAGAAAGTGCCAATCTGAATTTTTTCCGTAACTCCCGTAACAATGGAAAATCCAAGATGGCCGCCGCGGGATATTAACTGTCTATATTAGTATATCTTAATCTTCGTAAATATTTAACATGAAAACATGAATAAAGTGTCTTTTTATTAGTTTTCTGACTAAGTGCAAAAATGTGCGTGTAGCTTATTTCGTTAGCATAAAGCAACGGTTCAACGAATGAAAGCCCGATTGTCCGACACATGTCAGCCACTTTTCTCACTTCCCGATAAAGCCTCATTCACATCAACATCTGTAGGCCTCATATACACCTCGTGTACATACATACACACACGTGTACGCGCACACGCATACTGATGCGCGCGTGCAGACGCGAGCACTCACATACACGCGATCGCCCGCCCGCTTACACGCGCGCGTACTCGCATGCACGCACGCAGTTGCACGCACGCACGCATTAATTGAATATAAGTGGTGATGATGATGCCTTCATGATTTTAGCATTTTGCCCGAAGCATCCACTGAAACATATAATGATGTCCGGCAGGAATACATAAAACAAAACGATGAATACTGTTCTTCCGGAACAGTTCGAACGCCGTTTCTGTGTAAAGCTTAATCTCACGCGGCCCCGTTGGGCTTACGATATTCTATGACGTCCACGTGGGAGTGAATAGTAATACGAATAATGTCTTTAATGGCTTAATTCATGCACTCCTGGTCTAATTGGTTAGGTCGCTTTCTCTAGAAGAGCTGTCACATTGCATCGTGCGTGAAGTCATCTTATGCGAGATGTTTTTGTACGTACTCATAATTATTTTACAATCTTGTTTTACTATAGTTGTTACTCGAGTACCCTGCATGGAAACTAAGATACTCGAAATTGTTTTGTGATAAAGTTGATGACTTGATAAGGCACAGCTGAACAATCCCATCGCGCGCATGTGTTAGATAGATCATATCAGAAGTAGATAATAGATTAGGGAATTATTCCCTATTATCTACTTCTGATCATATAGATGATCGAGGTATAACTATATTTCTATGCGGCTTACATCGATACTCTGCGCCTACTAGAGAAGCCTCTTCACTGCAATCCTCAACATCAATGTAGCAATCAAGCTTGAAAGCACGCAACCTTATTTAATATGTTATTATATATCGTTATAGATAATAATATATAACTACACATCAATAAATAAATAAATAAGTAAATAAATGAATATACATATACATATTATATATATATGAAGCTGAGTGAAATTTTGGTTTATCGTGTGTCAGATATGTAGGATTTACAATATGCTCGACGAAACATTATTCTGATATCTATTCGATATAAGGGGGGCAATGAAGGTTATAGAAATCGGAGTGAAGTCATAACGGAGCGCATCATTGTATGAATTTATATTAGTCTCAAATAGACTTGATATGACAGAGTCGTCGCTGTTTCAACTAGAAAAAAACAGGATGCCGTTTATACTGACATCAAGCAAAAATGAGAAGCTGTCATCGCTATGACAGCGGGGGCAATTGTCAGCAATAACACCTCTTGCATGCGCTGCAAATCTAGGATTAGATGTAAAATAAGACAGCAGGACGCTCTGCAGAAAGCAATCTAATCATGAACACGGTGGGCGGCATTGCACCATATGTATGCAGGAATGAATAAAAACATTTATTCACTCGTGATGCATCGTACTTCATTCCGTACAGTTAAACTCTAGTATGCAGCCGATGCCCACCGTGGGAAGGTGAGCGCATTTATTTATGCTACGTGTTTAATTAAACGCAGAGCATAAATCTACGCATAAGTTAAACGGCAAAACATTTACAATTAGCTGGGACATCAATCAGTGCTAAAAGCTGCACGTGGCGTGAAATACGTAGATCCTTCAACGCAACATGGCCAGATGACAGTATGGAAGTACAATAAATACGTTAAGTAAAACATTGAATGATGTAATCAGATGCATGCGTGACGATATCTTGCATAGTTGCACCCGTAGCGCCACCTCTAACGAATTCAGTGCGACTATTTTAGTATAAGAATATGATTCAGAGAGCAGCAATCTCTGTCTAAGTAGCAATCGACTTAGCACGACTGATACACAGGCACTTGGAGCGTTTCAATAAAATATAATGCTAAATAGATACGAAATCTATTTACTACCAAAGTCTTAATGTTTCTATACTCTCTTTCACCTATTATTGCCGACAATTTCCTGTAAATGCCGTCCAAATGCTCATCTACAACAGACACTGGCTGCCGCCAAGCGCCATTGCTCACGCTGCACACTGACACTTAAATATATATACTTAACTATAATTATATTTAAGTGTCAGTGTGCAGCGTGAGCAATGGCACTTGGCGGCAGCCAGTGTTTGTTGTAGATGAGCATTTGGACGGCATTTACAGGAAATTGTCAGCAATAATCGGTGAAAGAGAGTATAGAAACATTGAGACTTTGGTAGTAAATAGATTTCGTATTTATTTAGCATTCAATTTTATTGAAACGCTTCAAGTGCCTGTGGACTGATACATGATGAGTGGCATTTGTAAGACCAACTAAGAAGGTCAGTCAGTGTAGGTGATAGATTTGATTGACACCTCGCATCAAAAACCACAGAGTATGTCTGTTAGCTAGAAGATAGGCTGGGGTTTGAAGATATGAGTAGGAGATATGAGTAGAGAGATATGTGTAAGGGATATAGCATGGCGCGAAGAGCATGAATGTATTGTGCGGCAATGCTACGCCATTTTTGACGTTCTATCATTAGTTATACCGTATAATTGTCTATAACTAGGGCGTAATTAATACCTACTGTAGTGAAGGGCGAGCAATGGAATATGAATATTCAGCAACAGTGAAGCCACGTCAGCTAACATTTACTTAATACAGATATGTGTTTGTTTAGTATTTTCTTTAGTCATGTAGGCCATGTACGTGTTTTTAGAAATGTAAACCAACAATTGTTGTCGAACTATTGTAGAATCAGCGGCGCCGGCCCGGCCGGCAGCCCTATCGTGGTTAGAAGGGGGTCTTTAGGTGTGGCATTTGGTGAAGGTGTGCTACATGTATATTGACACTACTCAAGCGCCAAAGGTCCAACAAGGACGTTACTCTACACGGATATTAAACAGGAGATCTTATCTACGAGTACATGTGGCTATAAAATTTACTACACCAGTTATACCTATAGTTCGGTAAACAAACAATATTTTTATGCTTATGTGTACTTATGTTGACTATTATTAAATTTAACTAGAACGGTAAAGAGACCTCGCTCCATCGTACTATATATAATATCCCACTATATAATATAAAACACACCGGTATACATGAGAGATATATTATCTGGTTCAGTCAACATATTTTACAAAGTTCCTACTAGGTCACATAATCCTCACTGCACTTGTGTATCGGCTTCATTCTATATTCTCCTGTATCTTTATTAGAATGCTATTACTATTGGCTGTATACATCGTTTCAGTATCATACCATAATACAATTCAATAATGTCTACACTAATTATAAATAATCGTCTTAATTTTGCTGTATAATATATATAGGGTCAAGAGCGGATAATACCGTAGAGACTAAGGTATTTATCCGCTGCTTGATATAGGTATATAGTATATATATGGACATGCCAAAGAATTCAAGCACCCATTATATCTTTTCTACATTTATTTCCATATCTCACGGTGTTCGTGTGTTGTTTTACTTACTATATATATATTATTATATATTAATTATATATATTAATAATATACTATATATAACACCACTATACACACGTTCGGTGTTCTCTCGGAGCTCGGAGCGAGTCCTATACTTCGTTGAGGTTATGGCTATAAGATTGTTTGGGGGTTCTGCGAAGGCTTTGGGGTGGGACCCACTATGGTGGTGATCGCCAGGTGGAATTGTTAATAGGGAGCGCTGGATAATAATCACCCGATTGCTTTTCTCATATTGTACATGCGGGCGCGTCTTAAAAGGATCGAATGAACATGGTTAATTGCCTACCGATTCCTTATTGGTTGGAGAAGCAAAGTGTAGGCTTGTGCAAAAACAATTCGAATAATGCAACAGATGGTGCTGGGCACATCTGTTAAACCAAACCGCCCCCGTGCGAGTACCACATCTTAGATCGGATTCGTCCTGCGTACATATGTCGTGTGTTACGCCCACCCCTCCACTCGCGTCACGCGTGCAATCCTACAGTTTCATTAAGACCCTGGTTTTTATAATATATCATATAATAAGATAATAACTGCGTCCGCAGATGCGTCCCGCTGTTTGACGCGCGATCGTGTGAGTTGAATACACAAACTCAATACATGCCCGCAAGACGATCACCGCCGCACACCGACAATTAAACGGCACGCAACACAATTAACGCCACGCACACGCATTAACGAGCGACCACGCGATTACCGCACGCACACGCAATTAACCGCAC